TATATATCGCTGATGCTTACCTTGTCTTTGTAGTCCAAAGCGTCTATGTATAGCTGTCGCCTGATCTTGCTCTCATCGGTGACAACATCCACTTGTGCCCCGGTCTGTAGTCAGTGCGTACGTGTGACAAATGTTGGCCATTCATAACATGAATCCGCGCATAAACTGTGAAATATTCAGGCGTATATCTATATGACTATAGAAGGCCTCTAATCGTGGGCAGTACCAGAGGCTGACTAATTCCAGTGACCCGGTGAGAACCGCTCGTACTATAGAATACACCATATCAAATACAACGCACTCGGTAGGACACCTACAAATCCATCATGGCCATAAACAACTAAGCGTCCATGTGAACGCAAAATCGTACGCCCAGATCAACGCACCTTGTGAAGAAGACAAATGCTAGTACAATGGTGTGTGCTTGAACGCTATATAAATTGACCAACCCGAACACAACAGTGTGCGCTTACATGTTTGCGGCCTCGTTTCTTCAGTCGCAGTAAACTCGCTTCAGTCTTGTTGACGGTGTTCAATACTTCCGTGACAATTTCGGAGTAGCTGGGTAACGCGCAAATGAGCGTGGGTGTCAGAAAACCATGCTCATAGATGGGAATATACGAGGCACTGGTATTTGCGAAGAAGGTATATTATGCACCCCGAAATGTTGACATGGGCGAAATACCTAGGGCGACCAAAGTTGGTTTTGGTGGGAGGCTATACGTAGGGCAAGGCAAGCATATATGTGAATGATGGAAGTTAAACTAAGTGGCCGGAAAGTATCTGTTGAAGGAGTCAATTGTGGGACATCTTCGAATAATACATCAGGAAGGCAAGAATCCTGGTTCGAAACTTACTTTTCACAGCATAGTCAAGTGTGGGTTATTCACATATGCGTATCACTGATGATATAATAACCACAATGTAATTTCTTAAACCAGGAGAAAAAGTGGTACGGCTTCAACACCAGTGATGGCATTTGCAGTGGCGATACTCGACACCTTGAGGCATAATACTAACCACAAACTACATGCTGCTACGGCGGGTCCATATGTTCTGCAACACGCACACAATAGAGAGTTTTGTGACACGCACATGTCAGCCCCTAAAAAAAATGTCATTGATTAAAAAGCCCATAAATTTGTCGAAAGTGTGCACATGATGGATGCAGGCCAGACATGTACAGCAACTAAGGGCAAGAATCTCGCCGTTACATGCGTAGATCTGATTTGTCTTCCATCAGATAGCATCCTAGTTCCCACTTTACTGCAAAGAACACCTCAAAGCATTTCTGAAATGCGCCCACCGATGACACCCCACTGGTAGTCTCGAGGTATACTGTCTGGCCTGTTTAATGGCCGCGACAATACCTGGCAGCGACTGTGTTCAACACCTCGGCAGTGATGGACTGGCTGAGTTCCGGCGAGATGGCCTCGTCATTCAGATTGAGATCATTCAGCGGTGCAAAGATCCCCGGCGCATACGGCGAGGCGACCGTGGGCATCTAAACCGGAATAGGAATAGACAGAACAAAGGTATGAAAAGTATGCTCGAGCCAGTGAATTAGTTGATATTCCTTCTCTGTTAGTGGATCAGTAATAAACTGTACGTGTGGAACGTGCGCTTAGGCGATTTAATTGAGGACTTTCGTCTACAGGCAGATCTACAAGGGTGGCGTTCAGAACACACAGTGCTGCATTCGCTTTGGGGAACAATAAGCGCTGATCGCGTAAGCTTCGAGAGGGGATAGATCATATCGGTACTAGATCTACAAAGGTAGCCATGAGGTCCCCGGATAGGGAGGCTTGATAGAGACAAACGACACAGCACCGGTATCTACATGTAGTGGGATATCTTTCCTCAGTGTATTCAATTGCACGGAAAAACGTGTCCACAAGTGTGCTGTCTTTAACGCACACGCAAAGTATAGATGGTGGTGCTGTATTCAATTAAATGATCATGATTTCGTATTCAATCGCGTGGAAACCGATCTATGTACCATCCTAGTACCACAGAATATGAGATACGATAGAATGAAGTGTATATATGTATATAAACCTATGTACAAATGAAATTTAGCTATACGATACCATTTCAGCCCCCCTCCCCCCAATGTCGAGCACTTTAAAATAAACCTACACATCAGAACCGGTTTCCCAGAATGTGTCGGTCAGGATTTTTTCGTGTGTGCCACTGATCATTAACCACGAAGTTTTCAATTACAATATATCTGGTCTACGTGCATATTACAAAGACATATGAAGGTGAGTGTGAGGCGAGTCAAGCTGTAAGTGTGTATAACTTTCCGCAGAAAAAAACTCACCGGTTTATTAGTCATTCGGTATGTAGCCGTTATCCGCCAGACGGGATTGAGCTTGGCCACCATCATCTCTGTTAGTATTGTTTTCACTCCCTGTAAGCACGATTTTCGTAACATGAGTGCGATTTTTGGCTTCTCAACTCGAGATTTGAGAGAGAATCTTGATAGATGTACAACAGACATCTCTGATAGTTTGGTCCCCATGTTTCTCACTCAAAATAATTGCCCCATACTTTGTGGGTTGAGGTAAGCTGTGCATGGTCAAGCGAAGGTATAGTCGAGCGCAAGCACACTACAGACATGGGATTGATCGTTCTCGAGCTACCTGGCTTAGTCTAATAATCAACAGGCATGGTAAACATAGCATGTCAAGGGAACTTATAATGCACATTTGTTATTTGGACTACGGTACATATAAGTCCCCGGCTTTCGATAGAATGTACACTCAACGGCATACCTCGATCAATAGCGGACTTTTGTTCTTTAAGCGCTCGACAGATTTGGATAGACCATCCGGAACAAAATCAGGCGGTAGCTGGCCGACACTCTCAGATAATCGGTTGAAGATGGTGTTCTGCCACTCTAGCTTAGCTAGCTCAGCAATGCATTCCACATCGTTGAGCAGCAATATAGACACTTGTGCCTTTGTTAAGGGAGACTGAGGCTCTGCGGCACCTGGACGTATTGTGGAATGGTTCAAACATTCAGCTATGAGGTTGCCGAAGCATATGCATGCATCTCAATACATGAGTGTTCTAATAGTAATGCGTATGGGTACAGTTTACATATTGACTCACACTGTCCAATGAGTTAATATAGAAAAGATATATCTAGCTTGTAGAAGCATTGAAATACAAACTCACATAAACATTCTATGGACAGAGGGTGGTGCCAAAAGTTAAGGTCAAATTCTAGTCTGGTATTTGTAGACACTACAACGAACCGTCACTTAACACAGATAATTTTGGAAGTTTCGACTGGATAACCGAAAGTACTACACACAAAACTCGAAATATCTGCGTACCTAAAGGGTCGGCATTGGGCTCGAGATGTTGTGCCGATGCATCAGAGGGAGGCGCTGTGATGTCAGAAATTGTGTCCGATAACCACACGGTGAAGCGGGACATCAGCTGGAACTGCAGCTTCCAGAACCTGAACACAGTGGGAATTGGAGCTTAGTTTATGCATACAGCCTGGAATGGAAGATAAAACACAGGAGAGGTTTCTGGAAAATAAGGACTATGTTTCTGATAAGAGGATTCATGGAACGCTGAGTTGTCCGAAGCCAAACGGTGAGTATGTACAGCAATACGTATACCAAACACTACAGCATTTAGAGAAAAGGGGAAATACAGTGACACTGGTTGCAGATCCAAATATCTCCAGCCGCAACGAACACAGCATATTTTACGTTCTTACATGGTCCGATTTGTAACCTCCCCTGCAAGTGGTACGTGCCTCCATAGATATGCATACGAACACGTGAGCAAAAATAGCATATTCGGTGAACGTATGATACTCGAATAGATATTTTTTTAAATATACCCGTTTTTGAGACACAGATATATCTATATCAATCCTTCTTCTCCGTTACAGCGTGTATATGTAACTGAACTATTTCAGATTGTTATACAATATAGACAGCCATTAATATAGCAACAGTGGCTCTATCCCGATCTACGCATCACATCAGAGTCGCTATTACCAATGTGGTACCTCACTACATATTCTTCACTTACCGATGAGACAGCGCTGGCAAGAATACGCCATCGCTCCAGGTGAGATTGACAGCCTCACACAGTGCCTTGGTTGTGTCTAGTACTGCACTAGGATGTGTACCAGAGGCCTTGGAACGGTGATCGTTTGCGTTGGCAACGAGCTCGCTGAACAGCGCATCATGCGACCGTTGTAGGGACTCCTCGAGCATGCCGGCAATCTCTTGGAACCGCAACTAGAAACATTCACGTATCAGTGTACAACACAAATCAGAAATAGCGATGGGTGATATATCTCTGACGTCTTGTGGTTCCAAATGCACACACAGATACAGTGATAGATGGGAACGACTGAAAGTGATGCCAGCTTTGTCAGAGCTTTCTAGGGTGCCAGCAATCTCTTCAAACCCTAACTATGAGCATCCACATATCAATGTACGAGACAACATCCGAGTTAGCGACGGTTAATAGTTGCCTGGCATCTAGCGGTTGCAAATGCGCATACAGATGCAATGATATATGGAAAGTCTGTGATTTTTGCAAGCATCGTCGGAACCATGGGTACGATTGTGAGGGACAGGGCCAGGGTTAGCGATGTGTAGTAGTGCCTGACAACCTGGAGAGTCTGCCATATGAATGCATATGATCCTACAGCCATATATGAAGAAAACCATATCCCACTGTTCGACCTTTGTAGTGATCCTTTAGCATGCCGGCAATCTCTGGTAACCAAACTACGTACATAAAAAGAGACGGCCACAGATAGGGCAATGTGCTATGGGTATCGTCGCCTTGCTGCCTGGAGGGTGTTACGCATCTGGATACGAGCATGCAATAATACATCAAAACCTTCCGCAAACAGGTGCTGCTTCGCCGATTAGTCTGTGTGTACTGCAATATAGGACGGCATGCACGATTCGCAAGCAACACACAGGTACAACTGAGACCCAACCTGGTAGTATATCGGCAAGGACCAACTCTTCATAAAGTCGATATAGGAGGTAGAATTCTTCAGCAACGCAACGCTTTGAGGGCTGCCAATCTTCTCGCTGAAGCGATTGATGAACTTCTTTGTGCAGGTGTAGTTCTGTATAGACCGGGAACAAAAAACAATACATCATGATGTCTACGTCGCCAAACGCTGTTACAGCGTATTATCACAGCTCGACACACCCATACATTTCTTACTTAAAATACATGTGCAATTTAAACCACCTCCAGGCAATGATTTGGAGGTGCTATGACTGGTAATGACATACCAGGTAGAACTGATCGGGTATACCCGCGGCGAATACCTCGGGTGTCACCTCGGTCATGGCCTCGACCAGTGTGGGCCAGAGACTGTTTACCAAGAATTGGAAGATGTTCGGTCCTACCTGTTCAGCCGCCGTCAGCTGAATGGGGGATGGTAAGGGAAGGAAGGAAACACTTCAATTGTGATCCCCTATTGAATTGGTCTAGCCAGATACACTTTGGCAGCTACCAAAGATTTTCAGATCTATCACTTTTCCATTTTGCAATAGCACGCAACGGGTACGGTCTGGTTTGCAGCTGACTGCAATTCCTTGATGTTCTGCATATATGCTTGCTCAGTGTTTTCTGTGCCACAACATTTAAACAACAGAATGTATTTACGTAGTCTCTTATCACTGAGAAACATTCCTAGTACGCATCTCATTGGTCTGTTTGTTCGTAACGATATCTATCTAAAAAAATACTACGAAATAGCACATCTGCCACAGGCACAGAACTTACCAGTGTTTTGCAGTCCATGTCCGTATACATGACAACTTCGTTATACAGCCACTCCAGTCCATGCTTGGACAAATTGGCCGATGTCACGGTACGTTTGACAAAGTTTTTTGCACTGATGGCTCTGAATAAGTCTTCAGCTTGACCGGCTTTCTCGACAATCGCATATGGCCGCAGCACACTAACCATCAGATCCAGGTTATCGTCCTCAAGTGCCGTTCGGAATGAGGCTTCGAGCCCTGTATATGTGTACGTGCATGAGGAATATATAAACATTTCTGAGTAAACATTTCTGAGTGTGTATGTAGTTACAGTCATGTGCATACGTTTACATGCCGATATTCACGAACGCATCACAGTCAAACAAACTTTCCGTGACGCAGGCGTTAAATTGAGAAAGCAAATATGATCACAATCGCTTAGTTTCGATTCCACTATTTGACATGTGTCATATTGACTAATTTGTACACCAAGACTCTATTCAAGATTTAGATCCAATTGGGCCAACAACCTCCACATAGGTTAAGGCATACCTCGTAGGGCACTAAATTCTGAGGCAGATCAAATACCAAAATGAAAACAACATGACAAAAACTTTGTCTGCCAATGGCTTGCGTACCATTCGTTCAATCCTGGACTCTAAACTGAGGGAGGTGCGTACGATACCACAACAACTGAGAACTGCATGCAACCATGGTAACCACAAACTACGAACGGATGGTTGGAGCAATCCCTTGATACTGAATGTACTAGCCGAACATATATCACACAAACACGCATAATACGACAATGTGCTGGCGTACATGGTATCGGTACGAAAAGTGAGATATACAGCCCAGACGGACATTACTATCTAAGGAATCAGAAGGATTGTAGTGTGCTTGAAGGCTATTCCTTGGTGCATACCAGCTAGTAGGGTGCGGGTGATGGTGTCTATCCTGGGCGAGAGGGCTTGGACGATGGGCACTTCCCTGCACTGAGACACATAGAACTGCAGCTGGTTGAACTCTCCTGCCACTCGCTCGGTAGTTTGCGTCGAGTCATCTGTAGCAACGAATGTGCGTTTGAGTATAGATGGGTACTGACACTGTTATATCTGACGATGTACAAAGCAACGCAAAATCCGGCGCGGTGTCAATATCACTCATTTGTACACACAATTGTGAGTGTAGCCTAGGCGGTTACAATACATATATCAATCTCCACACAGGGTCGAAAATATATAGACATGCTTATCTGACGTAGATGGAACTACACCTCAACGTTCCGTTTTGCTGTACGAATAACTTGTGCACATCCTAGTGACACTGCCGACTCAGCGATGCAGTGACACGAAGCAGACGAGAATATAACGTACGCTATATAACATCACCGAAAGCATATATGAAGCTCCGAAAGCCAAGAATTTTCGACGCTCACTTAAACAGAGTAATCAAGGCAGGAGCGCATACTTCGTAATTAATATGGAATAGCAATCGTAAAGACTGACCTTGTATCTGTGAGACATCAGCTATAGATAGACTCCCATGTCGTTCAACTGATTCATTACCATCACTCTTAGTTTCCGTCTGTTTAGGTCCCGCCGTTGTGTTTAGATGCAATAATCCCTCGATTTTGTGCACTGAATCGATTATATTTAAAAAGGTTTGTAGTAGGGCTTTCTTCTCGCGAATCTGTTATATATATATATATATATAAATGTCAGCGATGACAGAAGAACGAAAAAGTAGTTTAGTCTCTGTGCATGAGTGGATGTTCGATGATATCCGTATAAACAAGTGGAAACATCGTCCACGAAATATACCAAATAAAATACAGGTTTGAAATAGATTCTATATAAAAACGTACTTGTAAATACACGCGGGCTCGCAGATATATTATCATAATTCCAACATAGATACAAACTGCTGAACACATTTGTGAAATCAGTTCAAAATACATGTTTAAGATGTCACAACATTGGGCATATTTTCGAATGATAAACTGGAGATACACACATATCGTTCGTCAGAAATTTCAATAACTATAAGGTCCAAGTATTTCAACAACTACACATATGACTGAACTGCATACAGGACTGAATAGACTTGTCCCAAAACATATATGTATTAATGCCTATATGTATGTATATATATATATATATATATA